CGAAGACGAGTCATAGCATATAGGTAATCCGAGTCCATACCACATACGCCACTGTCACGTAAGATGTGGTCTTGTAATGCCCAAGATTGGGCCCTCGAGGCTACAAAATGCGTAGGAGGAAACCTCGTATGCCGAGTACAAACCCAAACCACCGAAACGAATAGGTAAGGAAGCCAGGCGCCACTGAATGTCTCCAAAGAAAGGGCATCCACATACCACCATATCCTCGATAGACCTGCGCAATCCTTTGTCAAAGAACAAAGCCACCTATTCTATGTGTACCGGCTGGCATGTCCTTAAACAAAAGAAAAGTTTTGCAATGCCCATACATGATCGAAGCAAAAGGATCTCACTCTGCGAGTCACATGGTTGTGGAAGAAGGCCCATCAAATCAACAACATTGACTGTTCTCTTCATGGCCAGCCCGCTAATAAACCCTGCGTCTCTGCAAACAGCCCCCCCAAGGAGCTTTACCCCCAAAGAAGGTCTCCCTATATTCGTTTGGAATAAATCGACACGAAGCTTCCTACCATCACAGGAGGGCCAAAAAATCTCCGTTTTCTTGATGTTCTACTCAAGACCCAAACCTGGACCATGCAACCGAATAATGTTCAACAATCTAGCCACCTCCTCTGAATCCCCCATGACAGTCCCATCATCTAGATACCAAGCATGGAGAAGGAGCTTACATTTTCTCTAATCTTGTGCACAAGCGGGTCAAAACGAGAGCAAAAAGAAGAGGGCCCAAGGGGTCACCTTGTTGCACCCCAGTGGCAGACCATATATGTTGGTCTCCGATATAAAGTCTCGCTGCTTGCCCGTACAAGAAATTCACCCACAAAGAAATGGAAGGGCACATTTTATTAACCTCGTGGAGCAATGCTGATCGATCCACCAGGTTAAAGGCATTCGAGAAATCCACAGTCAGCATTATAAGAGACCCATCAGCATGGTGTTCACTCAACACCCTATTGGCACTGTGTAACACAGCCTCAGCACCGCCGGATACACCAGCCCCGAACTAAAAATCATTAAGGTACTTGGCCATTTCTTTACCCACACCTTTCATGTTGAAAACCAGGCGTCTCCATATAGTGCCTACTACAATCGGACGGATCCCGTTGTCAGGTTTAAGTAGAGGCGTAAGAGGAGCGGACACAACAAACTCTGCCAAAATGGTTGGACATCTTCCCGCTAACCATAAATTAACCACTGAAGTGATAGCATGTATGAGATCTGTGGCAATAGCAGACCCTTAACAATGCTAAAAGATAGCGGAAACAAGTCTGACTTTTGATTGAATTGAATGGCTTTACAAGATAGAAATTTCGGGTTGTCACAGTTCCCCAAAATTCACCATACAACACAACATAATAATCAACTAAGGGTTATCAAAAGCCCTGGGACTATTAGCACAACAATATCACATACAACACAACAATATAAGCAACTACGAGTTATCAACAACCCTGAGGACTATCAACAATCCTACTGGGCTAACAACACACCTTGTGGATACACCTCACGGTTTATCATAAACCCTGGGAACTATCAGTAGTTCAGGAGTTATCAACAACTCATATCACATATAACAACAATAAGCAAATAAGACCTAGTTGGTCAGCATGTATATACTACCACACATGCAAGTATAGCGAGAAGACTCACCTCGCAAGTAGCAACTAACACCACAACTCTAACCTGGTAACGACCGATCCTACTTGACACCTAACAACAATAAAGAGTACCCTCTCAGCCTACACTCCAAAACCCTCGGTTTGACTAAAATTCAACCCAGGTCAACAAGTCAATGGCCAAAGTCAAAGTCAACCGCCATCAATTTCAACCAACTCAGTCACGGACAATCCTTTGGGATGACCTCATGACGTGAACATCCTTATGTCATGTCGTGAGCCCCCAAAGAATCAGAAGAAACGGGCTCTTTAGAGGTCACGTCATGACACACCTTATGTCACGTCGTGACTACAGTATGAAGCACGGATCCAACAATTTAAGTCCTTAATCCATTAAGTCTTTCACCCCAACTCTTCCAAAAGTTAAAGGGGACTCCAAAGGTGTAACGCCTGGTATGACTGACTGCTGAAAAGCTGGGTGAGGGATCCTTATCTGCTGCTCCGACAACTCTCCGGCTATAAATTCCATAACAACACTTAATTAAAAACTGATAATCCTTCTTAGGGTAAAATGACCATTTTACCCCTGGTCAAAGTCAACGTCCTGGTTGACCCTACTCGCCGAGTCAGCCTATTGGCTCGCCGAGTTCTACAACTCAGAAACCCTAAAATTCGCGACTCGACTCGCCGAGTCACCCTATGACTCGTCGAGTTCCCAACCTAGCCATCATCGCGACTTAACGAACTGACTCGTTGAGTCGTCCTCAAACTCGTCGAGTCCTAACATAATCAGAAAAGGGACAAAATCATACTACTCGCCGAGTTTCTCAATCAACTCGTCGAGTCCTATGAACATCATCGGGGTTTCTTCATCGGGCTCGCCGAGTTCCCTCATGAACTCGTCGAGTCCCTTGCAGATCTAACCTAGATTACTGATTTCTCACTTCTACAGCTCCACAATACATATCTATATCATTTCCAAGGCCCTTTTCCATAAAGTTGGAGACTTGATGGCTTTGCACACCTCAAATGAACCCAAACTCAAGTTATAGCAATCTACTTCCATAAATGTGACCATGGCTTGGATGAAAACGGATTCAAGCCTCCTTTTATGATCTTAGAAGCTAAATACTATATGAAGAAGGGATTATTTTGCATACAACCCATAGAAACTAACTCATCCTTCTCAAAAGGGCCAAAAGACCCAAAAACTCAACATACAAGAGATCTAAACTATGGTTCATCAAGCTAAGAAGTTTTTACCTCAGAAAGCTACCAAAGATGAGTGTGTTCCTGGATCTTGTTCTCTTTCCCCAAGCTTGTTAGCTCCAAGCTCTTGCAACTTCCATCAATGGCACCAAAATACACTCAAAAGCTCAATAAAGGGGCTTTCGGACGATTTAGGGTTTCTAGAGGATAGGGAGGCTGATAAGGGAGGCCCAAAGGGGGTTTAAGTTGTTTATATAGGGTGCAAAACCCTGAAAATAGGGTTTCCCTCTGACAGACCTACTCGTCGAGTCCATGCTTGGACTCGTCGAGTAGACTCTTTAAACCCCGCGTCCTTTCTGCCATCTACTCGACGAGTTAGGGCTACTAACTCGTCGAGTAGCTCAACTAATTTCTTAAAATAATTCAAATGATTGCGTACCAGGAATGGGACGTTACAACCTAAATCGATCCATCCTGGAAAACAAGTGTTACAACGCTGGAGTGCAAAACCCTATTTTTCGAGCCTAGAGCCCTAATTAAAGGATGTAATGGCTAGGGTTTTGCTCATCCTCAGCTTTCATCACTCCCTCAAGCCTGTATTCAACCGCAGACCTCCTTGTGTTCATCTTGAAGGTTATGGGTGATCTGTGACCTTGTAAGAGGAAGAAAGGAGCTTAAGTGCAAGGATTCAACAAGAAAAGTTATTCACCACCTTCTTGTGCATAGTTTGGACCTTAATAAGCCCACATGTTCTTATATTTTAGCCAGAAGATGAAGAAGGTGAAAATAAAGAAGACTTTGGGTTTTGGCATCATCAAATTTGGGGAGATTGTAAGGTCAAACCTTAGAGTTTGATGATATACAAACAATCATGCTGACTCAATCAGTGCCAACATCTACCAGGCGCCAACGTGAAGCTAAGTTTGCAAAGTCGTGTCAACGCGATATGTATATTTTGTAAATATAAAATATACGTAGTTAGTTAGTAGATCATATATCTTAGTGATATCGAATATACTTTATTATTAATGTTGATTAGGTGATATCCATGGTTTATAGAGATTCACATTGTATTTACTTTTCTATACGTACTATCCGATCATTAGTTGATTATCGCACCTTAGAGCTTGGTGCTCATTCTCTTGTGAGAACTTTTTCTCATTGAAAAACCTTTGTGCTATTTCTATGTTCTTTTATTCACTCTTATTGTTAATCATCATAGATCAAGAGTACCTACAAAATTAGCTTACACTTATTCATGGAATATATATAACAGTGTTTGACCTAAACCTGAAGGCCAAATCCAAAAACGTTGACGAAACTATCCCTTGACATGTTTGATGTTGTTTCAGATAAAGGAACTAGCCCATGAGCGGTACCACATGCTTGGTATGCCTAGCAACTATAGGGTCGGTTGAATTAGTCTTTACAACTTAACATGACTTTGGGTTTGGACTTGGAATTATTAATACCAGAGATCATGTTTTGTGATTTGTGTAGGGAAGATAACTCATACGTTCAACACGACTCAACATAGTTACAAGGTAGTCGGTGAAGATGAGAAGATGGAAGATGAGAAGAGAGAAGTTGATGTCGATTATTTCTGGATGTGCGGAAAAAATGAAGGGGCAAGGGACGTATTTATTTCATTCATCGATGTTTTTTAGCCGAGTGATCCATAGGTTTGCGGTTCAGATGTTCGAATATACCAATAAACGCTTTGAATTTGGCCGATTAAGAGCCCAACCTCTTAAGACAATCAATCACAATAATTATGTAGTCATTTTGATAAATATATGTTGAAAATAGTTGATATGTTTTAAGGTTTTATTTATTAATTTTATTCAATATTATTAAAATATTTGTATTATTAACACATATATTTGACCACTAACAAACAGACGAAACATGTAACAAAAATAAACATGAAAAATAGTTAAAGTATAAAACAAAAATTAAAAACTAAACACGTAATTTTTATAAAGTCACATGAACACTTTTAGCAAGTAATAATAAAAAATATATAAACCTTACATAGAATGAAAATTTGTTTTTATAATCAAAATATAATTCAATGCCTAATTTTGATAATTTCACACCCCGCCCAAAAGTTCAAAAATTAGAGCTCTTTCTCCCATACCCGCCATTTCATTGGCCAAAAAGTTGAAAATTAGATCCCTTTCTCCCTCACCCGCCATTTAACACTAGAAACATGTGTATTCTCCACTGCAACAAAAAACGAACCGGAAAACCCTAGCCACAGCCGCCTCTCCTCCTTACCACCGCAGAGCACCGCCACTACAACTTTTTCTCATGTCGCTCTGGTCGGCGTCTAACGACTTAGCATTTCTGTAAGTGAAGCGATTTTCATCTTATCTTCTGCATTAAACTTCCATTACTATATTAGGCGACACAGTTGATAGTAGAACAAGTATATGGAACCATGAGCTTGAATTCTACTCCAGTTTTATAGCAAAATTTCCTACAATTTCAAGATAAAAAGTAGAACATACATTCTTTACTTTTTGGGGGAGGGTTGTATACGTAATTTTGGGTGGTTGGATTTTTTTTGGTTTTTCATGATTGTGAGTTAGAAGTCGCATATTTTTGGTTACTTGAATTGAGTTTCTACTATTTCAGCAGTATTGATTTTGCTTGAACACATTTAGAAATCACTCTTTGTGTGTAGAAAGGACCAACGGGAGCTTGATAAGTTTAGACATCAGTTATATGCTTACATATTGATCAATCCTTAGTAACTTGAGTCATTTTTAAGAATTAGCTACAAAAACTACCAGTGAGAGTTTTACTAAGTAATTAGATCAACCATTGATCATGCAAATGGAGTTCATACTGGTTTGTGTTATGTGTAGTTCCTAAATTAGAACATATATTTTGTTAATAAGTTGAGTAAGTAATTGGACTAGCCATCGATGATGCTTAGATTAAAAAACGGAGTTCATACTGGCTTACATATGTTATGTTTTATTCTTATATTAAAAATTAGAAAGCATATGCATGTGATGCTCTGGCAAGCAAGGCAGTCGACTTTGAAACACATGTGCATGCTTTTCTTTGAATCATATTTCATTTTCTTTTTGTTTTTTGCAGCATGAGTACTCAAATGCTATAACACTTTCACATGATTTCTATAGAATCTTTTGCAGTACTGAATTAGTCCAAAACAGTAGCTCATGGAAAAGAGAGAACCAAGCATACTAAGTTGTTGGTGTTTTTTGATAGTTGTAATGCAAAAGCGTTGAAGGTTTGTCTGGTTGTTAATAGATGGTTTCTTAGACAAGCACAAGCTAATCCATAAACGTTTTGAGGAAGGTTAAAGGTGTTAACAGGGGTTTAGTTTGCAAAATATAGTCTCCCTTATAAAATTTTTGAACATATGCTTCCCTTTCTCTTTTCATTCATTATCATTCCCAATTTTAGCTTTTAATATCTTCTCAAATTACTTCTAGTCCCACATTTTCTCATTTTCTTTATTGATAATTTGCAGCTATAAACTAGTGCTGAGAAACACTGAGACAAATTTGGTCAAAATGAAGCAAGATGGCTTTGTGACAATGCAGTTTGTCTTGCAGTAAACCTGGAACTGAAAGAGACATTTTCATGTCAAGTGTTGACTATTGACAAGAAGCTGCTTTTGGTAACATTTCTTATATTAGCTATAGCCTAATTATATTCTCATGGAAATGTGGAAAGAAACTCTATACATTGCAAGAATGTTGTAGGGTTTTTTTTTGGAATATGTCAATGAACATTTTGTATTTGCAAGAAAAAATTAAAAGTACTAATTTTATTATAAGGTTTACATATTTGTTATGATGAAGTTCATTTCTTGATTCTTTGGATCAGCGTACGTGTTATAGTTATCATCAAACACCTTTTGAGTAGGGGAGCCTTTGTCATGTCCTTCATCTTCAGATGCATATTGCCTCCACCATTGAATCAGGTACTTTATTGCCTCTTCTCTCTTGCCTCTCTCTTATTTTGGTTGATTAATCTTAAGAAGTTTATGCTTCTTCTTTTCTTCATTCTTATGGTTATTGACTAGTTTTTTCACATTGACTGGTTTTTTCACACTGACAAAGTGACAAAGATTGATGAGTTAGTACACCCACTTCATCTATGAGAAAATCACTTGAAGGTTATGATAGACGACATAGATGATACATTTAAAGGTATTCATGTTCCTCTTATATCAAATGAAGTTGGCATCCTACAAGATGCAGTCGACTCTGTAATTCAATGGTTGTGGATTACAATTGTTCTCACTAAGGTACATCTTCATTATCCTTTACTTTTTTATCTACTATAATCTATATACATGTTAACTTGAAATGAGAGAATTCTTTATATTTAAGCCTTTATTAAACATCAAAATATCATATTTAGGCTGACAAATAAGATATTTTGATGGTTGAGATGGGCACATTCGAAGTCCTCCCAAATTAAATGGTTTATTAATGATTTTCTAATTAGATTCAACTGTTTTGAAATGTTAGACAAAAACTGATTTTTTGTTGTATTTTTGTTGTATTTGTTTTTTTTAGTGAGGATGGAGGATCGTTGGTACACTTGATTATGGGACAATCTCTCTTCGATGTGTTAACAATTTCTTTTTTGAAAATTTTCATGTAGTAAGAAATTACTAAATTAAAGAGTTTTTTTTTGTGACACTCATCATGCTTTTATCAATGAATATAACGGTTGGTTGTTATGTCTACATTATTAAACTTGTTCATCCGAGTATACTATCCGTATTAAATATGTGTTTTGGATGTAAGTCTCAGTTGTGTAGGTAGTTAGTTACATAGTTGTGTAGGTAGTTAGTTACATAGTTGTGTAGGTAGTTAATTGTAACATAGTGTAATTTTGGATTACAAAATAAAGTATTATAAAATCAATGTTCGTTATATGAGTCGGTTATGTGAATGGAGTTGGTGCGAATTTAATCTTTATATGACCCGGTTTTAAGGATTAGAACCGGGCTCTTATCCCCTTATATGACCCGGTTTTGTGTTGTAGAACCGTGACCTACTGTCCTTATGTGGTTTAGTTTTGTGTATTTTAATCTTTTTATATGTCCCGGTTTTAATGAAAAACCGCGTTCTTTTCAGACTGATAGGACCCGGTTTGAAAACCGGGTTTTATTTGTTTTTTCACATAAGACTTGCTGATCTTAGGACCCGGTTTAAAACCGGGTTATTTAACTGATTTAACCGGGTCATATAAGCCTTTTTGTAGTAGTGATATAAATTCATAACATTAGAATAAAAATTAAAATAAAATAAAAACAAATGATAAGGTGATATAATTTCATGTATTTATTTAAATCAACGATTATAATTTTATATAACTAAAAAAATATCTCTCAATGAATAATTTATATAAAATAATAGATTAATAATTTTAAGTTTTTACTATGAAAGTTTAATTAATTTTATAACTGTGGTTCCCACCGGTTATAAACTAGTTATATAAAAAACAAAAACTAGCAACAAAAAGGAAAAATAAACTTGGTAATATGTTTTGTCTTTTTATTCGCAAATTACACATCGATAATATTTTGAAAAATCTTCCATAAGAATTCGACTCCACTTTATTGTCACCGGTCTACACAATATGTAGGCAAGCTCGTTCAATAAATGAACATGGACATCGTCATCACCAGTTTTCTTCAAATCTTTAAACATCATGACAATCCTTTATATGCATCCAAACAAAAGCTAGATTTGTTGATTGAGACACTAAATGAATTCGATCAAGATTCTACTAAAAACATTATTGCCCCCTCGGGCAACGATGCTCTCAATAAGCTTATTACTAAGTTTCCTTAGATCATTTGAAATTTTACAAGAGAAGAAAGAGTTTGGAGAACATATCATAGGATTTGCGAAAGAGTGGCTGTTCCAACAAAAAAGGAGGATAAGACATTGTTATAGATATTGATGAGCTTTATGACGGAATTAAATCACCATCTCTTAATAAACCAAAAGATGATTCTCTATTTCCTCTTCCACCAAAGTTTCCCTTTAATCCCAATGATTCCCTCTACCAAAGAAAAAGAACATATTTCATTTCCTTCCATCAAAAACAACCAATAGTACTAGAGGTTGATGATGTTTTTATAGAAAACACTACACTTGAGTTTGAGAACTGTTATGAAAGATAATTTCCCATGAAGAGGCTACTAGCCTTCACGTGAAATATATATAATACATACAATTAGGCTCATTGTACAACAGTGGGCTAACTAAATAACATAATACTTGGGCTAACAAAGATTTAGCATACAAATATATATAACGTCTAACATCCCCCCGTAGGCTGAACGGAGGGTCTGGAACGAACATTCAGACTAGATCTGAAGTCAAGAAATAAAGAAGATGGGAGCCCTTTGGTGAAGATGTCACCATATTGAGACGATGAGGGAACATGAAGGACACGAATCTGACCCAAAGCAACTTTGTCGCGAACAAAGTGAATATCAATCTCGATGTGTTTGGTGCGTTGGTGCTGAACGGGATTAGTAGATAGGTATACTGAACTAACATTATCACAGAAGACCAGAGTGGCAGTGAGAGGAGGATAAGACAATCCGTGTAGTAAATTGCGAAGCGAACTTGTTTCAGCTACTGCGTTTGCAACCCCACGATACTCTGCCTCAGCACTAGATCTCGAAACAGTGCTCTGTCGTTTAGAAGACCATGAGAGTAAGTTCTGACCAAGAAAAACACAGTAGCCAGAAGTGGAACGTCTGGAGGTGGGGCAACCAACCCAATCAACATCTGAGTAGGCAATGAGGCCGCGAGCTGGAGAAACATATAACTGTAAACCATGTACCAGAGTACCCTGAATATATTGTAGAATCCGTTTTAGAGCAGTAAAATGAGGCTCTCGAGGGTCATGCATGTAGAGGAAAACTTGTTGCACATCATATGAAATGTCTGGGCGAGTGAATGTCAAGAATTGAAGAGCACCTGCAAGACTACGATATAGAGTCGGGTCCTCAACTGGGGGTCCCGTACCATCAAATTTGGTAGTAGTTTCAACTGGAGTTCGAGCGGATTTGCAAGTAGACATCTTTGCTCGGGCTAGAATTTATGTAGCATATTTTTCTTGAGATAGAAACATTCCATGACGATCTCTAGTGACTGAAATACCAAGAAAGTAATTTAAGGAGCCCAAGTCAATCATCGAAAATTCTGAACTCAAGGTGGTGATGACCTGTTGAAGAAGACTTGTGGAAGAAGCAGTTAACACAATATCATCAACATAGAGAAGAAGGTAGGCAATATGTACTCCCCGTCTGTAAATAAAAAGAGAGGAATCTGATTTGCTGTTGCTGAATCCAAACTGAGTGATAAACTGAGAAAATCTATGGTACCACGCTTTTGGGGCCTGTTTAAGACCATAAAGCGATTTCTGTAAGACAAACATGATTAGGAAGAGACGGGGTTCGAAAACCCATTGGTTGGCGTATATAGACGGTCTCCTGAAGGTGACCGTGAAGAAACGCATTCTTCACATCCAGCTGATGAATAGGCCAGTGATGGGAGACAACAAGACTAAGAACAGTCCTGATAGTAGCCGGTTTAACAACCGGACTGAAGGTTTCATCACAGTCAATACCCGGACGTTGACTGCGACCGTTTGCAACCAAACGTGCCTTGTAACGAGCTAAAATTCCATCTGCATTAAGTTTCTTTTTAAACAGCCAAATACAATTAACCACATAAGCATTGGAAGGCCGAGGTACAAGTACCCAAGTTCCGTTAGAAATAAGTGCATCATATTCATCTTTCATGACATTTAACCAGTTAGGATCTTGAAAGGCTTTTGAGTAGTTGCGAGGAATATGAGAGGAGGAAATGGTGTCAGTGTGAGGATTGAGACGATCAAAGGGTTTATGTATTCCCCGTTTGGCACGAGTAACCATGGAATGGGTGCCTGTGGAATGGGAGGTCGGAGGCCGAGGGGCAACCGGGGTGGTAGTAGGAGGTTGAGATGAAGAAACAGGAGGATGAAGAGTGTTGGATGACATCGAGGAGGAGGAAAGCTCCGTTGTGGAAGCAGTTTCGCCAACAGAAGTGTTAGGGTTGGCGTTGACAGAAAGGTCGGGATGAGGAGTGTCAATGGTTGGAGAAGATGGAGATGAGGTGGTATGGTGAAGGGGTTTTGGAGGGGTGTTTCGGTCATTAAATAAGTTGCGAGAGTCAGGAATATCTAAGAAATCATATCATGGGCATTCATTCGGAGTCATAGAACCAAAAGGAAAAGTTGTTTCATCGAAGGTGACATGACGAGAGATAATAATTTGTTTGGTATGAAGGTTAAGACAGCGGAAGCCTTTGTGGTTAGAAGGATAACCAAGAAAGAAGCACAGAACAGAACGATGTTCAATTTTATTGGTATTGGGTAGGTGTGGGTAGTAGAGACAACCAAACACATGAAGATGAGAGTATGTAGGCTTAGTATGCAAGAGTTTTCGATAAGGAGTATCGCTGTGAAGGGTAGTAGATGGTAGGATGTTTAAAAGATGTGTGGCCATGTGAAGAGCTTCCACCCAATATGTAGGGGGAAGATGGGCTTGAAACAGGAGGGTACACATCATATTATTTAGAGTACGAAGCATGCGTTCTGATTTTCCGTTTTGTTGTGAGGTGTAAGTGTTGGGTTTTGAGCATTCTAACACTTCCTAAGTGTACATGCAACCCTAATAACCTTGGATCTATGTTTGTCTAAAATACATGCAAAATTTGTTTTCCAAGGTTTATAACTTATCTAGCATGGCATGGGGAACTTTTAAACATAAAAGAACTAGATGAATTACATACCTTTGATTGTGAATTGATTCCTTAGGAGTTTGAGATCCAAGCACCAATAATGTGAATGCCTCAAATGGAAATCACAAATCACCAAAAACTTGGAAAAGTTATGAGAGAGTATATCTATGCTCTAGAAATCGGCCACCTTTCTTCACACACACTAGGGTGTCATTTCATGCATCATAAGCTTGTTTATATAGTGCACATGATTAGGGTAAACCCTAATAACCCATGTCTTTTCCTTTCCAAGGATCCATGGGTTAAAAGCTCCATGGATCATCCATGGACTCCCATATAAGCTTAGCCCATTACCATAATGAGTGTTAGCCCACACTATATAAATATAATAGCCCATGTTTAATTAGTCATCATTTGATCACTAAATTAATTCATAATTAATTTAAGACCAATACTAATTAAATAATACAATTTCATATTAATATATTATAACTTATAATATATTAATGAATCATAAATATACTATTCTCATAAAATTATCCATATAAATAGTTCGGGTGAAGTGCAACCCAAATGGACCATGCCGGGTCGGGTCAAGTATATACCAAATAAGTTATGGACTTAGACACATTATCCAACAGTCTCCCACTTGGATAAGTCTAATAACTATATTTGCCTATATGACTTCAGGAACCAACCGGCAATCGTAGCTCTCGAAAACTCTGTTGAACTATGAAGTGCCATTTTAGATAAGTGATCATATAATCCTCTGTTCACATGATATCAGCCGGACAATTACATGGAACAACGTCGTACTTATTGTCTAGCAGTTTGTTTCCCGATTTCCGATTTGTTTGACAAAGAACTTAATCCAACACATCAATTTAGTTCTGACCGGGCCCGGTACATAGGTCAAAACAAAATCATCGA